TGTCTCACCTATACAATATACAGTGGGAGAGTGTCTCACCTATACAATATACAGTGGGAGAGTGTCTCACCTATACAATATACAGTGGGAGAGTGTTTCATCTATACAATATACAGTGGGGGAGTGTCTCACCTATACAATATACAGTGGGAGATTGTCTCACCTATACAATTTACAGTGGGAGAGTGTTTCACCTATACAATACATGGTGGGAGAGAGTCTCACCTATACAATACACAGTGGGAGGGTGGTCTCACCTATACAGTGGGCAAGTGTCTCACCTATACAATATACAGTGGGCAAGTGTCTCATCTATACAATATACAGTGGGCAAGTGTCTCATCTTTACAATATACAGTGGGCAAGTGTCTCAACTATTCAATATACAATGGGAAAGTGTCTGGTCTTTTTCAATATACAGTGGGCATGTGCCCATCTACACAGTATACAATGGGCAAGCCTCATATATTCAATATAAAATAGGCAAGTGCCTCATCTTTAGATTATACAGCGGGCAAGTGTCTCAACTATTCGATATACAGTGGGCAAGTGTCTCAACTATTCAATTTACAATAGGCAAGTGTCTCAGCTATTCAATATACAGTAGGCAAGTATCTTATCTATTCAATATTCAATGGGCAAGTGTCTCATCTATTCTGTATACAGAAGGCAAGTGCCTCAGCTATTCAATATACAATGGGCAAGTGTCTCATCTATTCAATATACAGCGGGCAAGTATCTTATCTATTCAATATTCAATGGGCAAGTATCTCAACTATTCAATATACAATGGGCAAGTATCTCAACTATTCAATATACAGCAGGCAAGTGTCTCAAGCATTAAATATACATTGGGCGAGTGTCTCAACTATTAAACATACAGTGGGCAAGTTTCTCATTTATTCAATATACAATGGGCAAGTATCTTATCTTTTCAATATTCGATGGGAAAGTGTCTCATCTATTCAATATACAATGGGAAAGTCTCATCTATATTATACAATACATGGTTGGCAAATGTCTCATTTATAAAATATACCATGGTCACGCCTCCAATCTATAGGATTTATCATCAGCAAGTGCTATAGGGCAAGTATCACATCTATATGATAGGATAGGCATCACATTTATATGATGTATAACAATAGGGCCAGCATCCCAATTATCTGACATACAATACCTATTTATATGGTACAAAGCTGTAGGGATTCCTAATGCTTTATCCCAACAGATCATCAAAAGATTGTTTGATCGGCCATTGACCAGCGGTCAATTGGCTGAGCATCTGTTCCTATAGACATCATATACAATCGATGGTATGACTTGATTGTTCCCTCGACTGACTGACACCATATATAAAAGGCAGAGCAGACAGGAGCCTTCAGATACTTACACAATTATCTCTATCTGTGTGAGAACATAAATCAAATAGCAGCATCAACCCCAGTTTCCTGTGTGATGAACTCAATATTTGGCTCTGATTATATAGGCAGCAGGCAGACAATCTATGACTTGTATTTTTGTCACGGTGAATCGGAAGTCAGATATGTGGTACACTGGGATGTATGTTTTTGTCACAATGAATGAGGAATAGACAACATGACATTCGTCGATTTATGAATTTGGCAAAGTCTAAGCAGTCCTACACGAAACAGATTTAGACTTACGTCTTTGCCGATGAGGTCTTCCTTATTTTCCACAATGCCCCAGGGTGCTATTCCAATGGCCACCACCTTGTTTTTTAACTTGGTTGTCCTGTCACTGATTGTGTCTCCAACATGTCTTGTTACACCTAAAATACAGAACATGCATTACATAAATCCATCACACCAGAAGTATGACAACAGTATGTTTCTGTAATATTCAACTAAACATTATATAGTGGATATTAACAGTTAAAACAGAGCTAAAAATAAGGGTAACCCGATAGTCTGAGACTAGTGAAATCTCCAGCTGGACTAGTGGGTCTAAAACCTGCTAACCCAATTGATTAGTCAAAATGATATTTGGTTAGTTGAATTGGCAAAAGGACTAGTAAAAGTGGAATCTACTAGACCAATTGACTTTTTTCTTGTTTTTTTTTTAAATTAGTTTTTAGTCCGGCATTTTCGTGATGATAACCAGTAAATTGTTTATCCTGGAATAAGATAGATATTTGGCTGTTCACAGTAGGAACCTTGAGTGATGATTATGAAAAATATTCCTACCACAAAAAATAACCAACTGTTTGAGTATATTACCCCTAATATTATATTTTATATTTCATTAGTAAAATTGTATGTTGTTACTGTTGGTCTTTGATTGGTCATTGTACTGAAGCAATAGAAAGTTATCATTGTTATTTGCACTTTAAAACGTAGTACATTTTATAAGGTAAGTCTGAAAGGGTTGAAATAGTCCTGCAGTTTACCAGCGGTGTAACTCAGTCTATGGAGAATGCTGATCAGTGTTTGTCAACAGATGACCCGAGTCATTGTTTAGTCATTGTTTACACTTTAGAACATAATAAATGTTACATGAACGTATCAAAGAAACACAACTCAAACAGCTGACATTATGTTTGAAATATGGATTTATTATTGTTCATGTTGCAGATCATTAGAAACTAATAACTGTAAGTTGTGTTTCCGTATGAATAATGTGTTCTGCGAGTCCCAGACAACAAAAACATGGTATTCTAAGGTAGAAATGACATGTTACATTGTAATAAAGGTTTGTATAATTGCGTAAGGATGGTATGTGTTGAATCATTTACGAGACTGCAATAACAGGAGCCTGCAGGTTGTAGTTCCGCATATGTATAGTCTTCTGCATGGGAACTGTCATGTTTCTGTGTCAGAATGTTTGTTGTGGGCATACAATAAGTGTGAGTTGTGAGGTTGTTAATACAAGACAAACACTCGTAAGATTCCAATTTCTGTCACAGAGTTCCCTGTGATTTGTCACCACGAAGCAATCGGAAAGCCTGATATGTATGTTGTTTATACATCAATCCAGAAGTAAGTGACAGTAGGATACTGTACATACGATTTAGTCAGTGTTTCCATAATGCTCTTAAAATCAAGCACATAGAAACCTGCTGTTTTCTGTACAGTTTCCTCGTCATAAATTCGCCTGACTATAAAAATATTTCAATAAATCACCTGAAAACTGTTTTCCCTATATCATCATGCAACAAGGCAATTGCAAATGTCATTATACTAGTGATGTAAGGCGATGATTGTCAATATACTAGTGATGTAAGGCGGTGATTGTCAATATACTAGATATGTAAGGCAATGATTGTCAATATACTAGTGATGTAAGGTGATGATTGTCAATATACTAGTGATGTAATGCGATGATTGTCAATATACTAGTGATGTAAGGCGATGATTGTCATTATACTAGTGATGTAAGGCGATGATTGTCATTATACTAGTGATGTAAGGCGATGATTGCCAATATACTAGTGATGTAAGGCGATGATTGCCAATATACTAGTGATGTAAGGCGATGATTGCCAATATACTAGTGATGTAAGGCGATGATTGGCATTATACTAGTGATGTGAGGCGATGATTGGCATTATATCTTAAGTTGAACCTTATTAGCTTGCATGTTCAAACATTTTTCAGCAGACACATTAATTTAGGGTCATCGCTGGAAAACTGATCTTTCAGACAAATTATGGCAGGGTTAAATTCAACTACAAGTCTGTCATGTATGGTCCTATAGTATATATCTAATAGTATCTTGTTAAATTTCACTCTAGAAACTTCATCCCCTGATAATTAACGTGGTGGTGTCTTTCCATTAAAAATACAGAAAACATGTCTAACAAAAATTACAAGTCACACCTGTATTGTAATACTGGTTTTATAAAATTACAGAAATTAATAGATTTATAGATTAGTATATAATATTTGTATTTCAATGTCCAGATTAAGTTGGAATGAGTTTCTGTTGATAGTGAAAATGACCCAAATATATGAAGTTTGAGAAAATTCCATTCAGGAAAGAAGTCACTAGATAAATGGCAAAAATTCTAAAAAAAGTAAACATGACCTTGTCATTGACACCCTGAAACATGATCTCGTTTGATGTTTCCTCATACTTCACACCAGTATATGGAGTTTGATCGAAATTCAAGCAGGAACGAGGTTGCTTATGAGTGATGACAGCAAAAATCTATAAAAGTATCAGTGACCTTGACCTTGGCATCCTGAAATGCTTTACTCATGAAAAGTATTCTCAACTACATCAATATAGTTTTATCAAAATCCTTGCATGAATGAAGTTGCTATAAATAGTAAACACTTTGACCTTGACCTTTGTACCCTGAAACAGGCACTCAGTTGAGGTATCGTCATACGTACTTGACCAACGTATGGATTTCAATCATGATTCTTTCAGGAATGAAGAAGCTAGAACAATGACAATACCTGAACAAACATACAAATGTGAGTATAAGTAGAACACTATATCTCCTCCAAGACCTCATGGTGGTAGGATAACAATTTTATTTGATTAACTACAATTTATACAAGCGTTTTTATTTTTATTTATAAAAACATCAGTGCAATCCATTTTAGTATGTGTTGCATGTGATAAATTGTACAATTTCGTGATAGAAGTTAAGTATATCAGTGTATTGATTATTTAAGTTACGATACACAGAACCCTACTTACAATACATCATTTTTACACCATTGTACACCTACAAAATACATAGACTCACTGCTCAGAGATACTGTAGATGAAGGATTGAAAAGACAGGATTCAAGGAAGGCCGCATGGAAAGTGACAGAAAATATAGTACTAGTAAACACTTTTTTGTAGTCATAATTGCTGAGCAACAGTAAACAGCAAGCCAGAAAGTCCCTGAATTGTGGTAGACTTCAACGCACACAGGCTCAGAACAAACATCAAGCTTAAGGTTCGGGGGGGAGGGCTTTCCATTTCACCCAGCTTATAGACGATATACGGAATGGGAATTAAAGGGTTAATGTCTTGCACCTTGACTGTGGCAGCAACAGACTACCAGTTTCTTGCTGACAGACAGCTTTTGATAATGGAAATTAACAGGACATATTATCGCAAAAAATCTATAGTTCCCCACTGATGGACAATGGTCAGTGAGTATCAAAAGAGAACACGGTCATAACTCTGATTATTATTGGCATGAATTCGGATTTCTGTACGCGACACTCTTGTCATCCCGAGAGGTACTCACATGCACTATTCTGCAATTTTAGGAGCATGAGATACATGCTATAGAACAGTAAAGAATTACCATTATCATATTTGGGGTTATACAGTCCATACCAAAATCTGTGTACACACTTCATAATAGTGTGAACAATAGATCAATCAAAATTTCCTTAAGTGCTCACAATGCATAACAGTATTTACATCCAAATCAATGATTTAGTTTAAACTCTATTTTATTAACGGTATATTAAACATTCCAGTAAAGCAAACATGATATACAAATAGGATTCGAAAACAAGTACAAAGTGCTTATGTTAATCTGTCTCCTTTTTTTTGTTAAAAGGCGATTGGATGGCACTGACGAATATTATGCATATAGATATAAGTATATGGAAAAGAAGAGGATGGGGGAGGAAGAAGGGAAAGAGGTGCAAAGGGGTTTAAAGAAAGTGTTGTTGGGGGTAAAATATATAGGGGAGTACACTACCTTCAATAATTTATACAAACTTGTGTGTTAAAGTAAACATGTGAGTTTCCTATTTGTGTTAAAATTCATAACTAATAGTAGGAATGCTATCCAGCATGACCAACTGCTATCCCCACATGAATATTTGCAGAAAATAGTTCAGAATATTAACATATAAAACAGGTCACAAAATTGAAACTGTGCATTTTTTGATGACTGAATTTTCAATTAAATGTGTCATCTTCTAAATCCATTTCAGATATCTGATGACATAATTGAACAAGAGGCCCATGGGCCTTAACGGTCACCTGATATATATACAGAGAGTTGATTTTGTTTTTAACATGAACAGAAATATTATTCAAAGTGACAAAAAACAATAAAACCACCTTACTCAATATCTAGCATACAGATTTCAGACTAAAAAGGATTTGAAACTAGCACCTCTGATTCTTAACAAGGAAAATGAAGAAATTTTAGCACACTGACTCCTTTGAGCCCCACCCTACAGCCCTTGGGGGTAGGGCTGGCTCAAAATTTTCAAAGTATCAAACTGTCAATTCAAGGTTATAATTCCAATCAAGTTATTAACATGTAATATTCAAAGTATCATTTG